TGCACCTTCCCCAGGGACCTACAGGTGGAAAAACAAGGGTGTCAATTACTCAGAGATGACATTCAGCTATCCACAGGAAAACAGAGGTCAATTAACACATTTCCTAACACAACCAGCATGAAACTACTAATTTTGATGGAACAAAGACAATATAATCTAGTGGTTAAGAATGTGGACTCTTCATACTTCAGATGGACCTAAGGAAAAAAAAAGTTTGCTTTTGTTGAAATACACATTCCATCTCTTACCAGCAATGAAAACTTAAACGGATTACTTAGACTTTCTAAGCTTTAGTTCCTTACATATATATATAAGGTAGAAGATAATAAAAGCACTGACTTGTAAAGTTGTTCTGAGGATCTAATGTGGTGTCAAGTAAACAATATACATTTAATAAATGATTGGTACCATTATAACTAATATGTCCCCAAACCTACATATCTAACTCAATATTAATACTTTCTACTTAGGCAGCGTTTCATCTAAAAGAAAAGCCCTAAAGCCAGGATTTTAATCTAGTAGGATTTTTCATATTTCCAATCCTTCAGCTCATACATTAAGAAGCTCAGAAGAGAAATAAGTTTAAAAACATAACTTCATTTTCATGTTCTAAGTAATTTTCCTCAGTTTTGGTTAGTACTTGTAGAGCAAACTGCATTCAAAAAAATCTGATGCAGAAAAAAATGTAAGATAGTCAAAGAAGCAGCAGCGCTGAACTGCCTATGGACATTCTGCCCCTGGAATCCTCAAAGTGTGCTCAGTTTGATTTCCGATGGGTAAATTTTCCAACATTAGCCTGTAATATGCCCAATCTTTTAATTAACTAATTAGGTTTTTTTTTTGGGGGGGGGAACTCCAAGAAATGGACAGATGAGGGAGCTGCCCATTATAGTTTATCAAATTTTTTGCATCTACTCTACAGACACACCAGCTGGCCTTATCCAGAAGGTTGATCATATGTCTTTTCACAAGGACAGCAAGTAATCACATTTTGTGTCAATGAAAAAAAAAAATAGTTCCTTCCCTTTCACTTTATTTAGATATGTAATCTGATAAGTTTTATCAGCTTAAATAGGTAACTTTTGTCCATATACCATAACTGTGACGATCATTGACTGTAATGATCATAAAGGTACTTCACATGCTGAGAAGCATATTAATTCACACATTTGAGAGAAATAAAATACTTTCTCTCTTTCCCCACATCTGATCAGTTG